TTGATATACAATAATGTATGAGTGTATAAGATACCTGTTTCAAAAGATACTTTTATCTGTCAGTGTGGTACCATTTTTCCTATAAAGCAATCATGTGGTCACACTCACAAACACATTTCTGTTAAAGTAAGACTAGGTGTGTTTAGGAAAAGTCATTCCCTTTGTCATCACAGTACAGCCATATTGCTTGATTGCAGACTCTAGCATTCTGTTGATTGTCAAGTGTTGTATAAAATGATTATCACAAGAGATTAATGCAAAAAGACCATTCCCTGTTTAAACCACAATTTGCAACAAACTACGGGTCTGCAATCAAACAGAAATTGTTCTAACAAATCCTGTTTTCCATCATATTTGAGAAAGATGGCCAGGAGGCTAATCCCGCAAAATGTATGCTGCTATAATCAATCAAAATCATTAGAATGAGTAATCAGCATCTGATTATACAACACATTCCTGGCAATATTAATCAAAAAGATTAATATATTTTCAAATCTGAAAGGTACTTTTGCTCCATCAAATGAGACCTGCATATGGAATATACAAGCTAGAGCTCTACCAGTTAACAGTCCAAAGCTACTTCAATGTTAAACCTGCACTCCAGACTTCCTTTCATTTCTGCACAATTGTACAGGCTTCTCTCCTGTACTGAAAATGCTTACTCGGAGTTCACTGCACACTGTGAGCTTCTCACATTGCGCATTAGAAGCTGCAGCCAGTTAGATAAAGCTTGTCCCATTTCTGCTGGGGGAAATGCTAACTTTATTTTAATTTATATTTTTACTATTTTCTTTGGTTATCATCATAGGTATTTCCAAAGATATTTTTATCTCTTCAATTAATATGTCTAATATGCTGCTTTAGAGAGTCCCTTTACAGCATCTATCTGAACTGGTTTATGCTCAGTGCTGGTTTGGAGTATCTGGACCCAACTGGACAAAAGATTGTGGGGCCTGTCTGGAATCTGACCTTCAGGTACTGGCTTCTGCTAGTGGAGCTTTCTAGACCTTTGTACTGAGTTAGTGCGAACACTCTCCAGGTCCCGAGTCATGCTACTGTATCTGGCACACCGTGTCAGTAAGTCCATAAATGAGGTGAAGATTGCCTAAAATGTGACCTTCAGGCACTGGGCTCTGCTTGTGGTGTTTCCCAGACAAAGCCACAAAGCACTCTTCAGGTCCAGGGCAGTAGCTCAGCCTCTGGTGTGACTCAGTCTCTGAAGACCCACCCTGTGGGTGTGCCTTTTTGGATATGGTGTAGAGTCTGGACATCATGGGGAATATCCTTTGGGCACAGAGTTCTGAATTTTGACACTTTCCAAAAATCAGTGTACTTTGTTAGTTAGCCGCAGAGCATTCCCCAAACTTGGAGCAGTGGCACAGCCTCTGGTGTGACCTAGCTTCTGAACCCTTTCTTTGTGAATGAACCTCTCAGTGGGGCAAAGTTAAACTAATATGCATCTTTCAGGCACTGAACTCTATATTGTGACACTTTCTAATTCCCTATGTACTGTGTCAGTTAGACACACACCATTCTACATTTTTAGAGCCATGGTACAGCCTCTGTTGTGCCCCAGTTTCTGTTGCTTCCCTTTGTGACCCCTGTTCCTTTGGGCACTGAACTCTGCACTGTGGCACTTTCCAGTCCCTTGTATACTGTGTCTGTTAGTCATGGACCGTTTTGTAGTTTGAGAGCTCTAGACTTTTCCTATAAAACGATTAATTCCTATGGAATATGTGAATGTTTTTAATCTGTTTAATAAAGCGCTGGTTTTTAAGACATATTGCACTATTAATTGTTTATGTTTTTTGGAGTGGGAGAGGAGATGCAGACTTCCGGATGGTGGAATTGAACGTGGTGAGAGTATAAACAACGGAGGAAACCAGGGTTGGAGACCGTTTGATACCGCACTAAATTCTGTTTGACCACCTTGAAAAAGAGGACATTGATGTTTGGTGAGTGCGGATCTATATGTGTTATGTGCACAGCGGTGGATTAACACTGATGTTAAAAAGAGGATACATGGCACAGAGAGATTGAAGAGTATGTCTTTGCACATTGTGGATTGGACATCAATACTATTCACTTTCTATATGTTACACATTATGATTGACACTATTTGTAATGGTGATATATAAGAAGCTCACCGTAATTAATTTTGGATTTTTATTTTCATTTTATGATTGTTGATTTGTTTATTGATTTATGTATTCATTGTACACTGAAATAGGTGAATTTAGTCCTATTTGTAGCGCAGTACATTCATCATTCCAATACGTAAAAGGATCATTAACTTTTAGTGCAGCAGCTCAATAGGTACACAGGTTTTTTTTCCACAAACGCAGATCATTAATTTTATTTATGGAAATGGTTACTGTGCAAGATTCTGATAGTTCCCATCATACTGTCATCACGTTTCTACTCTTTGAGTATAGCAGGTACTTTCCCATTTGCACCCTTTTGGGATTGTGAGATTGATGGGAACTCCATTATCAAACTTCCTTTTCATTCTGTCCCTTGGGTCACACTGCAGAATATGGATTTTAGACAATACACAACATATGAGAATTGTCCCTTTATCCCCTTTTCTTTTATCAGAGAAATAATGTTATAGCTGGATATATCCACTTTCATACTCTTGGATCAGGTTCTATGAAACATACACCTTCCTAAGTCATAACAGAATATCTGTATAAGTCAGTCTTTTCACCGGACTTCCGCTGCACTTGCCCTTTGCAATACCGTTCACGTGCAATATCTTTTTTTCCAGAGGAAATCAAATACTCCACCTGTCACTAACTGACGTCTGGCTCCTTACACTGGACAGCATTGGCGGTCTCATAATGTCCACACTATTTCCATGCAGAACTCAAAATCTTGTTTCTGGATCTCTCCATCTAAATGTTTTCTCCCTTATACTGTGAGGGTTCTGTTCACGAACGCAACTTCTCTTCCTTCCTCACAAAGAAATATCCATCTTATTACTTCTGGTGATCATTGTGGGACCATTTTGTTGGAAGAAAGATCCCCTTTCTGCTCTATATCAACCAGATTGTATTGTGACTATCACACCTCTGTATCCTCTATTGCGGAGTTCTAATCCTTTCTGTTTGGAGGTACCTGTATGTCTATCGCATTACAATATACCCTCACTTACCGTTCACTTTTATAGAGGCATGTGAATCTCTCCACAAGCAAAATATAGTAAAAACAGAATGTGATTATAATCAGTGTCCTTCACTGAAACGATATTTTACACTGTATTTTTACAACATCCGAGTCAGTACCTGCAGTTGTCTAGAAAATGAAGCCATCCACCATATGGGGATAAGCAAGCTCTAAGCTTCTCTCTCCATAGACAACACTAACCCTCAATCAAAGTGCCCTGCAGTTGAATGTGGAAATTGCTCTCAGTAAAGTCTTACAATGTAGGTTCACCTAATGTTTCATTTGCTAATACTAAATAGCTCTCAAGATCATTGAATACGCCCTACCTACAGCACACAAAACATAGGCACAATAGGATGAAAATGGAAAAGAGAGGTTTGCATGACCACTAAAAAGGATCACTTGACCATTTGAGGTGTTGCATCAAAGAGAATGGAAGGCAATGTTATCAACATGCCATGTTCCACAGTCCTCCAAAGTCCTTTGAAGAATCCCAACACACTCTATACTAGTTCAGGAAAGTTTAGCTTGAAAGGGTCAGCCTACCCAAAAATAAAATGTCAGTAATAGGTGATAAATGGAGCAAGTTACATCTGGCTTAAACAGCTTGAAGACTCTGATGGAGAGTTCTTGATCTGTTACCACTTATATTGGGGTGATAGGTGTTTGAATTGTCCTGTTGCAGTCTAAGTAATAAATATAAATAAAACATCCAATAACAAGTGTGGGAAGCCATGTTATGCCTGTGACATTTGTGCAGATATTTAGCCACTGGCGTCCCGAAGAATATACAAAACCTTAGGAAACGAATGCCTCCTATTCTTTACAGCCAAATACAGCACACCGTTAGCCTTTATTTACATCTGCACATTTTATCAGCCAGGACAACAGCCATCTCAGGGTTTGAAAGTTTGGTTAAAAGCTGACATAAGCACAGTGGCAACTGTGACAGACTTGAATTGAACTGCTTTGGGAAACTTACGGAAGGTAATTTACCAAGACTGGAACAGACAGAACCTGAAGCAGCTGTGCATGGCATCAGCTTCTAGCTTTTATTTTCAAAGCTTAAAGTGACATTAACCCCCCCATGCTGCTTTAAGGACTTACCTTAAATGATGCCTCTTGATCCGATCATCTTCTTTCCAGTAGTTTTCAGGAGTCCCTCCAGTGCTGGTCTCTGATCCAGCGCAGACTCCTCGGGTCCCACGGTGTCTATGTGCACTGACTTACCCTGTGTCTCTTCTCTTCTCCCGGCCGAAGATCTCTACTGTGCATGCAAGCGCCCTAAGACCCTTCATGGCCGCTTGAGAATCTTCAGATCTTTGGACTGGAGCGAGCGGCGGAGACACAGGTACGTTTTTGCCTATTTGGTATCTTTTATTACTTTTTTGAATGTTTTTGCATATATCTACTGCTTGCTAGCAGTAGATATATGAAAAAAAAAAGGTTTAAGTGTACTTTAACTGAAGAGAGAAGCGGATTGATTACTATAGGCAACTGCTGTCTGCTCCAGCTTTAGTAAATTTGCCCCAATGAGTTTTAGTTACACTTTAAGCAGTCTAAAGTTTAACAGCAAGCAGATATAAAAACACATAATTTCATCCAGTAATGTTTCCATTGAAAAAATTAAATGTGTTTTTACCTAAATCTACAATAAATATCAGAATATTTCTTGATATGAGCCTTCTGTAAACAATTTACAAATCTTTGCCAAATAAAATAGCTTCCATATACTATATGCTGTGTATTTTGTTAGAACTGAAATATTAGGTTTGGTTGGACTCCATCCTTAACCCCTTCTAGTATGTTACTAATATTTTAAACTGACGTACCTTATAAAATCTTCTTCATCCTCCCTTTTGGGTCTTAATTGTTTAGGCTGTGTCATGTTCAGCCAGTTGGGAAGGGATTTCAGTAGTCTAGTGATGTCATCATCCTTTGCCCAAGAAGCACTTATTGCCAGCTTCTCATCCGTTTGAACAATGCTCCTACAATGAAACAAACCAGTTAGGCCACATTTGCGGACACATTTCAATTGTGTGAACGACAGTTTAAAATTGAACTCTGGGCATGTACAAAATTAACCCTTGCAGTGGGACCGCATGTTTTGTCTATGGTCTAAAATAAAAAAAAGATAGACTCACCAGATCCTCGATCAGCCTCTGATCTCTGTCAGAGTAAATACTTTAAGCCTCTACTTTTAATTTGTATCGTGAGACACAAAAGGGTTCTCCTCTCTCATAGCTGCTTTTTTGCAGTGGCGATTGAGCCACTTGCCCATTTGCTATGGCATTCTGCAGGAGTGGCAGGTTTTAGTACTATTCAAGAGGAGATGAAGATTGCATTAAATGCGAATAACATGCTCTTATTTTTGACACTCACTCCTTTCTCCTGACCACCATGTCCCTCATTACCAAGTCTGGTAAATTCTCCGGTCTGATAATTAATTGTGACAAATTGATATTATTTCTATTACCATTAAGCACTTTATACAGTCTAATCTTATCTTTTTAGTATCTGGATTTACGCCAGACTGAATTGAGGGGGTTCTTGTTGTTACTGGTCCACTATTATCATTGCATATCCTATACTACGGTATTGATAGGAAGACAGAATCTCTATCAAGAGGTCTCTATAGGATCTTAAAAGACCTTCCAATGTAAATAGGTTCTACATTTACGGTAGCTTTTTCCTGTGTGAATTGTTGGGCCTACTGTGTTCTAGTTGGAATAGTAGTCCCTCTCTTTCCTCAGTGTAGATCTAATTGGAATAATGGTCCCTTCTCTTCCCAAGATAGGGCCAAAAGTAGAGTGACATATTTTGTCATATTCATTGTTAAAGATTCTTATGGAGTATCTGAACTTCCGGGTGACCCTTGAGGTCATCCGCAAGTTCTGTTCAGTTGAGATCTTGGACTAAAGCAATGGCCTAAAGCAAAGTTATAACTTTTTCTCCTCTCCAACTTTTTACTCTTTTAGTTTCTGTTTAATAAATGGAAAAACTGTTGAAGAAAGCTATGATGTGTATGATAGGAATATTTGATATTTCAATAAGAGATATTGCAATAAAATAACCAATTCAATTTTATTTAGGCCAGTATAAAATAAAATATAGCCATTTCTGGTTTTTATTTTCAACTGAGCTTTCTAAAAAGATAAACACATAACACAAGCCATGTACAAAAAATTCTGTGATTTGTAGAGAGCACATTTTCCACATGAGGAGATAAGCGGGTGAGGACTGATTATCATGTCAGGCAGAGTAAAGCTTGCATTCTCCATATTCTATTAGTACCACAGCTTGCTACATACTTAGTTAATCCAATCATCAAAGCTATCAACAATAATTTGTTTTCTAGTTTTACATTTGAAAACGCACTAACACCACTAACTTTTAATTTCACTCAGAGCCCTTTGAGAACCAGAGGCTACAAGAGGCAAGACTCGCCTGAGTTAACATTTTAGCTATACTGCTGTTCATCCAGAACACAAACTACAAAATATAGATTGGCCGTACCATGTGCGTGTGTAATTGCTTTTTCCTAGTATCCAGCATGTGAAACTAATTAAGACCCGCAGGCCTCAAGTGATACAGTAAACACCAAATCCATTTTAAGATATTAAGATTTAGCTGTGCTGAAGTCAATATGTGATACAGACCTTAAATGAGTATTTAAGAGTAAGAAAAATAATGAACTTGTATAAATCAATGTATCTGCCTTCTCTATGTAAATAAAAGAAATATAACCCTAAAGCAATGCCTCATAAGATTGTCTATTTCCTATGTTTATTAAACAAGTGTCAACAACCAAACTAAAACTTTACCAAACACAGAAAATAACACAATAAGGGCCTTATCATTTATGTGTGCGCAATATACTGTATATCAGACAACATTCCCTTTTTGAAAAACTTTTTCTTAGTTCTCTAAAAGAGTTAGATTTGGCTAGATACAATTATATAATGTTAATGATTTAGAGAGAAGTCAGCATCAAATATATCTTTTTGTTAATTGCATGTAGGTCAAGTAATGTGGAAGTGTAATACTTAAAATCATATTAAAGTCAAAAAGATTTTAAGCTATTTCAAATGCTGATGAAATCACTTACAATGGATGCTGCTTTTTGATGTTTAAAAGTTTTAGTTTCCTGGTCCTGACTTCTTGTTTTAGAGTGAGTGCTATGCAGTCACCATTGTGTGTGCTAGTAAACTGTGAGGGGGATTTATCTGGGCATTATCCAGAGTCAGTATCTACTTCCAGGACTGAGACACTGGCTCAGAGGTGACGCAATCATGTAAAACCTGGTGATTGTTCCCTTCTTTACTATGTACACAAACACCGAACATGGATCAGCCTCTCAATTTCTGCCTTGATACTAAGTTACAGGGGAGAATTTATCACATCTGGAGCAGTTGCCTATGCCAACCAATCAGCTTCTCTCTTTAGTTTGTTCAGTTAAGGTTTCAAAATGAAAGGTGGATGCAGATTGGTTACCATGCAACTGCTCCAGTTTTGATAAATTTCCCTCACAGTGTTTTAGTCTGATCACTAGAGAGAGGGAGACTGAGGAAATGCTTCCTACAGTAGACTAATAACATCATCTAATCTTAGGCTAAATCATTTGACTGGAGCTCAAGGACTGCTCTTCAATGATAAAAGGTAGAGCTGTGTAAAAAACTATAGTTTTAAACTTTGCATGTCAGGAATATATTCATGCAGAATTGTAAAGTTAGTGATAGGTCCACATTAATACTTGGGTTTCTTTGTACAATTCCTAATTATATTTACAGGGGGCAGCTATCTGTATCAATTATACACATAGGCTCTCCTTTCTGTTTTACAGTGCTACCCACTGATTGTGTTTACTGCTCTTTTTGCATGTCTATACATCAGTCAACATAAATTACTATGTCACCTTAATAGTTCATAAGCAGGGATGCCTCATCTACCCTCCAGAGCAAGCATATAGAAACGTGAATGTAAAAATTTTTTAAGTAAAACTGCAAAAATAACAACAGTTTTTATTTTTTTCAGGCTTTTTAACTCTTTTTTTTACCTGGTAATTCTGTGAAAAGCACATTTATTCTCTACGAGTGGCTAAACGCACCCTACTGAATCCACGGAGGGAACAGGGAACTATGGTTGCCACTCATGGGCAGAACTTTAAACATGTCTACCCATTACATTGGGGGGTCGGAAAAAAGGTTGTTTACAGACGAAAGGTAAGATTGTTTTATACTTCCAGTTCAGCTCAAAGTGACAAGGTAGCTGCATGTCTGACAAGATCAAAAGACATTTACCTTCTGAAAATGTTATTAGCAGAAAGGAAGGAAGGATACATAGTTACATAGTATTTGAGGTTGAATAAAGACATTAGTCCATCAAGTCCAACCTATTAGGATCTCATTCTAGGAGTACCTGTACCCCTGTATATTACGGTATTACGGATACAAATGCAGCCACTACACCTGAGCACTGCAATATATTAAAATTGTGTTCGGTTTAGTAATCCTTGAATTAAGGTTTGCTGTCTCCACATTATCAGAAAGCTTGCATGTGAACCAATAATAGCCATATTGGTAAAAAGCTTTTTTTCTTTTTGGTATCACCGATCCTTACCAGCCACCACTGATCAAATTTGAACATAGGATGTGTAAGGGTAGAATGGCGGCCGCGCAAAGACCCTATCTCCGAAGATGGACCATAGTGCGCAGGTGTGCACAACCGAAGGTGTGCGGGAAGACGCACAAACAGCAGGTGCACAGGAAATTACATCTTACCTCATAGGTGGCTATATAAGAACAAGCCTGAGCTCACAACATTGCTGATGGTCTTGTCAGATAGTGCTTCCTGTTTCCTGTTGAATTTGCCTCTGACCTGTTTTGACCTGGATTGTCTTGAACCACTCTGCTGCTTGCTGCCTGCTCCTGACCCTGACTTTTTTTCCTGGACTTCGCTCTTGCCTTCTGACTCGGTACCTTGCTGCCCAGCTGGCTCTGACCCTTGGCTTTCTGGACCCCGATTCCTGTCTCCTGAATCTGTTCCCACGCTGCCCGCCCGATTTTGACCTTTGGCCTGCTGACTACGCTGCCAGACGTCTCCTGCACAGTGTTTGCTTCCAGCCCGTGGCACTCGTGCTCCTCGCTGTCCTACAGCCTTCTGTTCCAACCCCAGGGGTTGCAGGACACGACCTGCAAGAGAAGCCTCCTCATCTTCCGGTCTCTGCCTCATGTATGTGATAGGATGCTACAATTGTCATAGCAGGGGTGTGAAATTCCTATCGCCTGATGCCCAGGACATACAGTTCTGGCCGCCCTGCGGGTGTTTTTTTTTTTGCATTTAGCTTTGCTTTTGGCAGGCAGGGGTAAATGTACAGCGGGGAAGCCGCCACTCGTTTTGTACAAGTGACCTGGGCGATGTCACAGAGATCACTTGTAATAAGCCTGCTCGTCCGTCCTCCCCTGCTGCCCCCTCCATGGTCCACCCCCACCTCCGGCTGCATCTCTCCCTGCTGGCCGCATCCTTCCCTGCTGGCCGCATCCTTCCCCACTGTGGTTTTCGGGCCCCCCACTCTTCTGGGGGACCCGGGACCACGGCAAGGTGGTTCAGGTTGGACAGCGGGGAGCAGAGCTCTCCACTCTGCTCTGTGTGAACATTGAGATAGGAATGCTGCACTCGCAGCCTTCCCATCTTAGTGGTCACAGGGGAGCAAGCACAGTGCTGTGCTAAACTCCTGCATTGGAGGTGACAGGTTCAATAAAGAGAACCTGTCACCTCCAAATGCTATCACACCGGGGCTTGTTAGCTCCTGTGTGATAGCAATAAAAGGTAAATATTTATATTTTTTAAATGATAAAATAAACATTTTAAAAAAAGTGCTAAAGTCAAAAATAAAAAAAATTACATTAAAAAAAGGTGATAAAGTAAAAAAAAAAAAAATAAGAAGAAAAAAATGGTAGGTTCACTTTTCCAAGTAATTTGGGAAAATAGAATTATCGACTCAAATCTGGCCCCCTCTCGTCTCAACCCCCTACCTTTTGTGAACAGTCCTTCCCCTACACCGATATGGGTGTTCTATCTGTACCCCAGACTCCCATCCAGTGCAGCCCTGCACCGTAGCTTGCAAATTGTGCACACTCGTTGGTCAGCTTCTTAGCATGGTTGAATACGGTTTTGTTTTGGGTTTTTTTGTATTATCAGGACAAGTAGATTGGCCCCCTGCTTAGTCCTTGGGCAAGTAGGTTTTTAAAAAAATGTCCATACCCCTGCAGAGGTTGGGACCAGTTTATAAGTGGTAATGCAAAAGCAGTGGAGGCCAAAGCAACACATAAAATGAAAAACTTCTTAAATTTTTTGTAACACAACTGTTTTCCATTGCGATAGACTTTGGGTTATATAACCATGAAGCAAAACCACTAATTCTACAAAGTATAGGTAAGATTAATTGTAGAATATGAACGGTGCTGTTTATGTACTCTACTTGTGTCAGTACTATAATTTGAATAACTTTAAAATTGAATGCAAGGGGGAAAGGCTACTACATATGACGTACGTACCTGAATGCTACCATGCAGGTGTCCTTATACTCCTGTAGTTTCACACACACCATGTTCATGAACTGATCTGAGTAAGCACTTAGGTCGCGCATAAGGTTCATTAGATCTTGAATGCTCTTCTCCACAATGACGGTGCTCTGGAAGACAAAATAAAAAAAAATAGGTGAGGTCAACAAAACCTATTACCTGTAAAATCCTTTTCTTGGAGAATAGTACAAGAATTAGTCTTAATCAGGGGCAATCTGCAGCAACCTTCCGGTGACTTGACACTGGCAAACAAAGCTGCAAGGACAGACCCAATGTAACCCCCTCCTACTCCCAAGCAAGCCTCAGTATTGTGTCAAGCAATAGAGAAATCATAAGGAACAGAGGGAAGAGACCTGTGTACTGTACGCCAGGAAACCGATTTTACAGGCAAGTCAAAAATTAATCATACAGTACAGGGCACAGTACTTGTCTTAACGATGAGATATCCAAAAGCAGTCCAACTGAGGGGTGGGCAACAGAGTGGTCTACATTCAGCTGCAGGCTGCGGGATCTGGCCGGCGGCAGATGAATGGGGTTGGGGCGGATGATATCATGCGACTGCCTGTAAACAGAAAATCGGTACCTGATAACGGTTATCGGCCTGAAAGGTGGCCAATAAACAGTATCGGTTCAAAAAAAATTGATAACGGTCGACCCCTAACAGATACTCAAAGCAGTGAGTCAGAGCTGATTTCTGCAGAATTTTTGAATCAAAACAAACTTGTGAGAATCTTTAGAGCAAGAATGGGTCAAATGCCATCCTTGTTTGGAACTGTAGTAATGACCCCTTCAGAGAGGAGGGCTTGCTCATGAACTTGGAAAGTTTTCAGGTCCAAGCCTTCTGGTACAGAGTTGAGTGCTGGATTTGGACTTGGAGCTCAAGGCCTGAAAGAAATGAAAGAAACTCTTTTTTGACTTAGGAGCTAAAGGATTACCCGCAGGACCCTGCAGTGTCCAAGGAGTCACCAAACAGGTGTTCCCAATCAAAGTGTTCCTCTCGAAATGCTTCTTGCTTGGAAGTTCTGTCCATCAACACTTGAGTCATCCTGGATATCTGAGGAAGTGTATCCACTAAACCATCAATGTAGTAGCGTAAAGCCACATATGTTTAAGGACCGGGGGGGGGGGGGGGTTGGGTTGTCAGAATGTGCTTAGCCCAGACAGCAAGAGTCTGACAGGCTGCCATTGATGTAACAGGTGCACAGTGGAAAGTTCTAAAGAGATCAGGGCCTTAAAGAGAGCCTCTAAAATCTTGTACACAGGTTTCTTAAAAACTGAGCCCATTTCTTAAGAAATCCCTCATCAATAGTGTATTGCTTAAGAGGGACAAAAATATTTTCAAAGTGAGGCCAGCCACTGTGCAAAAGGTACTGGAGCATGTGAACAGGAAAGTGCTTAAGTGGTTTGGACATTTTTAAGGAACCCAGACTGGTGAGATTAGGGTGGAGCAAAGCAGGCTGCTCTAAAACCAGACAAGAGGGCGCCATGTCAAAAAAAGATTGAAATAATAACCTTAGGTTTGTGAGAGATATCATAAGATTGACCCTCGTCCTGAATCAAATGAAGCATCAGCCTTCACTTTGTCAGGAAGTGTAGCAGCAGCGAACAGCGAGTGTACCCGAAGGAGCAATGGAGGTCTCTAAAGAAGGAAGAGACCTAGACTGGGCACAGTGGTCATGGCTGACAAAACCAAAGGCCCCTAATCCCCAGAGCTTGCGCTTAAGATCTACCAAGTGTGTGAGGAATTCTACCACAAGGTGTACTCAAAACCATCAAATGTGGAGTGGGAAGGGTTAAGCCTTTTGTGTCAAGCACCGTAGGCAAATAAATGCCCAGGTGATGTCAAAGGATGGCTGTGCTGTGTGTAGTTGAGCAGGAGCTGTGAATTCCAGTCAATTAATGCACGCAAGTGGAGAAAATGCCACAGACGTGCAGTGATCTCACAGAGATCGAGGCTGCACAAGCTCAATAGCGGCTCCTAGTGGCTGGGAGACACAAGGGCTGTCAAATTCAAAAGTATAGAAACTCCTGGTCTATAGCCATGACAATTTATTTAATTTTGTCACAGCCTGTGGTCTGCTGTCAGCTTACAGGGAAAAAGAATGAAAAGAAATCTAGGCACCAGTAAAGGGCATGCAGTCCAGACTTGCCATGGGAAACTTGTGGCTGTCCCAGACTAAAAACAGGATGTTAGTGACAATTCCCATCCTGGATTCACCCTACGGACTGGCATACTTGTAAGGAGTCTTCAGGGATAGGGCTCCTACAGCAGCTAGACATGGGCCCTGAAATTAAGTACCAAAGGTGAGAGCCTAACACAGGATACAGTGCCCAGAGTAACATAAAAGGTCGTCTCTTGGTAACATCCCCCAAGGATCAGACAAGGAGTTAACCAAAAGCTGCAATTAGGGGTGCCCCAGGCACTACTAGCAGCTAAAAAAGTCATGTCAAAACAATAAAAAATAAAAATAAAAGCAAGGGAAATAGATTTCTTCTCTCAGTAGAGTGAATAAGTCCATTACTATGGACACTATTGGAAGTAAAAGTAGTTATACTAGGACTGAGTCCTGTGTCCTGTACTGTATGATTAAGAAAAAGTATTTAGGATTAATATAGCTCAGCACTACTGGAACAGATGTAAGATTGGTTTGTAAGGGCCTATTTTGTTATGACGTTTGTAAATATTAGGAAGTATGTGTATGTAAAAACTATACTATACCAAGAAAATGTAGGTTTCTCATAAGCATTACTGCAATTCTTCCAATTCACAGGACTCTCTAAAACCCCATTATATCTCAATCGAATGCCTTTCAATATAATTGATTCTTCCTTTTGCTTGTAAGTTATGTGTTCACTTGTCCAATAATTCTATCACTCTGGATGACAAACATCATACTTACATCCATACATTTCCACCTAACCTGTCAAGAAATGGCATTGAGCCCTCCCTGTACCTTTTTTATCCTTCATGAATACAGTATATATAGGGGTTTTGTTAAAACGTGAAAAATGTTTGGCTGAAGAAAACAGTTCCTGAAGCAGATGTTTTTGTATAACAGTAGGTTGTAAACACAAAAATAGTGCAGAAATCTGGAAATACTAAGCTGGTTTGATGGGACTGCAGACACATATCAGGAGGCCATGTTAAGAAACATGTAGGAATAAAAGAATAAATATGGAATTGTAGATATATAACAATTTTAATACTGTAAGTCAAGGCAGTGAAGTCATCAACTTTGTAAATTGCTTTTTAGCTATATTGTTCTATTATGCTTGTACAGACTTTCAGACTTACTCTTTGTGCTCATTGCACATATTAAAATCTTCCTTTTTTCCCCACTGGTGATATGAAGATAAAGCTGTGAAAACTGGTCTACAGTTATCATGGAATGCAGTAATGAGACAGCATTGCATAAGTTAGTTTTATGCCCCAAAGTCAAGAACAATGTAAATATTTACTTATAAGGAAATAGGGCAGATAATAAATGGAATGGAGCAGCTTAAAGTGGAACTCCAGGCAAAAATATTTTTGCAGACATCAATTACTTTTTATAATTCAATATGTCATATCGTTAGACTTTGGTGGCCAGTGTGAAGCCATGCTCATCAGTTTATGTATTATGTGTGTGTTATTGTTGGATTATTTTTAAGTATGTTATACTGGGTAACCTGCTTATCAAAAGACCACTACCTACTGTCATCACTACCCCCGTTAGCGCTCTTTGTACTCCGAAGGAGCTTGGGACAATGACATTCTCCTGCCGATGCGTCTGGCCAGACTCCTGCTATGGCTGTCTGGAGCTCTTTGGCAGCTAGACCCCTGCAGGGTTGTGGAGTCAGTGTGTCTGGGGAGGGCAGAGTGTATGTGATTACAATCTTATGTGATCACTTTGTGTATAAACGGTTGCACAGTTGCTCAATTAGTCAGAGTTTGTTTCACCCTACACTTGATTTTGGCTAGTAACTGGGTGAACTGGGAGCTAAAGATCATCTGGGTGCAGCATCTTCTCAGTAAGGAGGAATACAGCAGCAGATGTACTCATCCTGAGTAGCGGAGTCCGTCACAGCCACTGTGACCTGAAATAACCCATGAACCACCAGCCCTGAAAGTATGCAAGCCCCAACTCACTGGCTTTGCGGCACTGGAAATCCTAAAGAGTCCTCTTGTGCACATTAGCAATTAATATTTCACCTATTTTGTTGCTTGTGAGCCATTCTCCTGCCTGTGTACCAAGTGAAACACCTCAAGTCATCAGTCATTTATCACCAAATTCAAGCTTTAACCCTCTTAAGGACCATTGACGAAATTATTCCATCATGGTTGTTCTTGCCATAAGGACCCATGACGGAATAATTCTGTCATTGGTTTTTAAGGGGTTAAGTTTCCGTCATGGCTACCTCAAAAGTGTCAAAATACTCTGTGATGTCTACTGTATATAAATATATACTTTTGTGCGTAAATTCTTTCTGTGATGTCTATTACATTTTAAAGACAGACATACCAAATTCTATAATTGAAATTGTGACCACTAACTACCAAAAATAAACTGAAATTCTAGACATATGATGTACTCTGTAGATCAGCACAAATAAATACATTTATTTTGAAATACTTTTCTTAAAGGATAATTAAACCCTCGTGTGTTTTTGCATATATCTACTGCTAGCAAGCAGTAGATATATGCAAAAACATTTTTTAAAAACAGATTCAGTAGGACAGGAAGACAGGAAGAGACAGGAGACAGCGCTGGAAGGAACGCTGAAAACTACTGGAAAGAAGAAGATGAACAGATCAAGAGGCATCATTTAAGGTAAGTCCTTACACCAGCATTGGGGGGTAGATTTTGGCTTTAATGTCACTTTAAGCTGCACCAAGTATGTACATATTATTGTCACCAAAACTGTGGAAAAAGTTGTATTATTTTTTCTTGCATTTTTTGGTATTTTTTTTAATTAAATGGTAACTTATATATGTATAGGTCACATCAAATTAAAGCTCTTTTTGTCCTTTAAAAACCGATATATAATATGTGTTGGTGGAATAAATGAGAAAGATGTAAATTGCATTTGAACACACAAACACCAAAAATGCAAAAATTGCTTTGGTCTT